AAATACTCTTTCGAATCCACAGTTTTAACACTCCCCACTGAAATACTGACAGCCCCAGTACTTTATATATATTGTTAACATCTTTAATAGTTTCAGTGATCCTAAACTGCTCCTGCAGTTTATGTTGAATCCATGCATATAGCATGTTTTATAATCACTGAAAGCACACCCTGAGAACTGAATTTGTTTCTGTGACAGAGCAGAACCAAAGACATTTTAGCATTGCTCTGATCTCTATAGTCCCTTTGTTGGTGTGAGCAGAAAAGAAGAAACAGACAAAAGTTTGCTGTCAAAAATATCAAAGTGCAGTAATCTTATCTCCTCTCTGTTACTGTCTCAAAAAAATCCCCAACCAAAAAACCAAAAAACCAAAAACATTACAACATATGTGTAAAGAAACACATTAACTATCCTGGCTCTGTTAAGAGCAGGTCTCCCAAGAAAAAAAAGTCATCTTTCCTGTCTGTACTTTAGTGGCAGAAGGTAGGAACACAGTTTTTGTCCTGGTCAATGACTTAATATCCTGGAGAAGAACATTTGGTTTGACACATCATTGAATTCCCCCTGAGGAACGTGTTGCTAACTGCTCATACTCAGCTTCTACTTTGGTCTGAAGTACACTTAACTTCTAACTTCTCAGGTATTTATAACGTGGGATCTAAGCGACATTAAGAAGTGTGATGTAGTGGCTGTTTTTAAAACCGTGGTGGTATACAAGCAGGCCACTTCCTGCAATTTAACAATTAGCTGAGAAAAACAGACAAGTACTATCAACTGCAGTAAGAAATAACATGTGCAGCTTGATGTGGTAAGTATGGAGGATGTTAAATTTCAAAGGGTAAATTATTTCAACAAAATCCAATCTACTTATTGGAAAAAAACAACTCCAAAAAGTCTGCAAGTGGCAAGTAAGACTGAGCAAGTATACTTGTCAAAATCAATTATTGCCTTTCAAGTGTAGGAAAATGAAAAATGAGCAATTAAAGATTGCTATTCTTTATTCAGAACTGAAAAAAAGATAAATGAGTCTGCAAGAAAAAATCTTAAGCTTTTTCTGCATGCTTCTTTGTTTCAAGTGATAGTTCTGTGAATATATAGGAGAGAAGAAAAGCCTTCTGCAAGGTATTCATCTTCTACATTCAGCTTCTTGGTTCCCCCGCAGACCTGCTATGTGAATCTTGTTAAAACAAGTTTATGTTAATTAGTCTGTGGGAACTAGAAAGAGGATTTCTGCAGCTGAGATTCCTTTTTTAGGCAGCCGGTAGGGCTAATCTTCAGCAAAGAAGAACTTTTAATACCCAGTAATGTTAAATAGTCTAAGTATGAGGGAATTTGCTGTCATTAGAGTACTGACATAACACAAATGAGACCTTCCCTAGGACAGGATTTATGTACTAGGTCATCTCAGTATGTGCGAATACACGTAAAATAAGTATCAAGTGAACAACATATAGGTAAACTGAGCTTCCATAATTCCCTTACCTGTTTCAACAAGCCAACTATCATGGGTAAAAATGGTCATGACGGGCAGGTTGTGGGTGTAGGCAGGATTGCCTAAGGGTGTCTAGTCTGCTGTTAACAAAGAAATAAAAGCTAGTGTTACTTGCACCAAAATTTGGCTGGAAAGACGGTCTCTGGCCACCGAGAGTTGTGGCTCTTACCTGCAAATGACATTCTCCTTCAAAAGCTGTTAAGCAGGGACAACTGTTGTTAACACCGAGAACTGTGTAAACACCTGGGAAGGCAAGTTGAGCCTACACGCTGTCCCAAGGAGACCCACCGGGAGGGGAGGAGGGAGGGAAAGAAGGAAGGAAACAAACAAACTCCCTGACCCCAACGCCAGGCAGACCTTCCCACCCGTCTCCACGCCAAAGCAGGAGGCAGGCGAGGCGCTGAGGTGGGGCGCCCTCCCATTGGCTGACAGAGGTGGGGGCACGAGGGTAGGAGAGGGGAGGAACTTGTGATTGGATGGTGGACGGTGGGCTGCCTTGTGATTGGGTGAGAGGCGGGTGCGGGCGGTGAGGGGGCGGTGTTGTGGCGGGACGCGAGGCAGGGCGGTGCTGTGGCCGGGCGGTGTCTCGCGAGAGTCGTGTGGCGGTAGCGGTCTCGCGCGGCTGCGGCCCGCTCCGCGCTCGCCCCCGGGTGCTTGGGCCGACGGCGGCGGCGCCGAGCAGAGCCGATCGCCGCTCCCCGCCCCGGTGAGTAATTCTTCCCCCGGCGGGCGGGGAGAGGGACAGCGCGGGTCGGGTTCTGGGGGTGGGTGTAGGTGCCTCCGCTGCTCTGCCCCCTGCTGTCTGCCTACTGGACCGCGCGGGCACGGCGCCTTCTCCGTGAGGGGGTGTGAGCCTTCGCCGGCCCCCCGCCCACGGCCGAGGCCCCTTCCTCCTTGCCCCTCTCCGGCTCCCCTTCAGCCGTGGGGGCGGCCTCCCGCCGCTTCCTCAGTCCTCGCAGGCCTCCGCCTGTGGCGGCTTACCCCCGCACACCCGGGACAGGCCGGTTCCCCCGCACCCACCCGTGACAGACCGGCCTCCCCCAGTTCCCAGGGCCCGAGGAGCACCGAGCAGGGCGGCTCCGTGCGGCCCCACCTCATAGCCTCGTTCTCTTGTGCCCTGCGGCTCCTCCAAGTTCGCAGCAGTCCGTGTGCGCCCTTTCCCTCCAAGCAGTTCCAGCTCGGCCGGAGGCGGCCCGCAGGTGTTGGGGGTCTCCCGAGCCTCCCGGTGTCAGCCCTTCGCACGCCTTCACACAGCGTCTGCTCCTTGTCGTGTGCTCCGTGCGGGCGTATTTCTGTCTTCTCCATCCTCTGAAACGGCGGTTTCCCCCCCCCCGAACGACCTGACTCCTTACAGGGCCGTCGTCACTGGGTATTATCTGTCCTCATCCTCCCTTTTGCCTTTCCTTGAAGAGCGGGATTGTGTCTGTTCCTTTTTGCTAGTGCTGTGTCTCATGTCTGGAAAAAGAGCATTTAGAGAGAAGAAGTTCGGCTGGTAGTGGAAGGGAGTAGGAGGCTTTTCCTTTGAAGTAAGAGCCAAAATAGAGTAGGTTATGACTGGACTTTGCATTTGTGGGCTTGTATGTCTGTGTGTTCATGTGTGCCATGGCTAAATGTGGTTCAGTTGGTACATGGAGTCACAACTCTGAAGAGAATTCTGCAAGTGCAGAACACCTAAAAAGCATCTCTGGACAGATTGGCGAGTGGTTAGATATTTATGTAAGTGTTTTGTGACTTCACAGCTTTTCATTTAAAAAAAATATTTCGGGGAAAGATGAGCTTTCCTTTACCATTTCTTACATTGTAGCAGTTAATCCTCACATAGTCTCAGACTATGCACATTAAAAATTCTAATGCTTTTCCTTGAAATATTTTAATGCTGATCACAGATGTGGAGTTTGGAATTGTAGTGGCTTAATTTCCTTTATCTGCTGAACTAAGAGAGCTTTAATGTTGCTAGTGCCAAGGGCCAGGAGTGTGTGTACCCTGTCTCCTTAAGATAGCTAATGAAGGCAACTGTTATAACAATGGTTGTTCTCATGTGAATACTGTTTAACCAAAGTTGGATTTTCTCATCTTGTATAGGATTCTTAACACGGTAGTCATTTGCTTGCAGAACTATCTTAGTGTGGCTTGAATTGGGGATAACTCAAGACTGGTGTGCAGGATATTACACTAAGTTGTGATTAGTAGTGCTTATGGGAACTCTAAGAAAAAAAAATGCTGTATTCTTCTAGAAGGACATAAGTCACTGGTAAAAGCTGCTTATCTGCAAATCAAGGGAATTATTGAAACTGGTAAAGTAGTTTAACTTACTTGTATGGTCTGGTTGTCAGTCTTCAGCTGGGTAAGGAGTTTTGTTTGCAAAGACTACCATATAATCAGATAGGATTCTTGTTCGTAACTCGGTACCTTCACTTCCATATCTGTTATGATTGGAAATCTCTCCTTCAGTAACAGAATGAACTAAAATATAAAATATTGTTGTTGGAAAGCAGTTACGATTCCTTGCCTTTTGATAATGGAAACTAATTTATACACATGAGTCTCTAGCAAACTGGTAACTTTAAATTAATAAATAGTCTGGATTTATTTGGTCTTCTGATTTCTGAGACAATTGAAAACATGTAACATTGCTGTTATCTAAATGTAGACAACATAGTAATGACTAGAATTTTGGTTATACAAGAAAAACAATAGTCTAGTTCCAGATACAAGTTAATTTTTAATATGTCTTCATGCTTTTGTTTTCTGGGTTTGAAATTGTCAGTTAAAGCTTGACATTTAGTTCTTTCTGGTTTTATTTTTAGGAGAGCTGAAAATCTGCTCTCGCATTTAGCTCTTTATAAATTTTCTTGCTTTAAGTTTCAGATTTCTCATATATTAGTTTATTATTTTTAAAATGCCTTAACTGATTGTCCATCCCCAATATCTCTTCTAACTAATAAATTCTTACAATACTTTTATATGGGAAAGCTTAACAAACTTTCATTGCCTTTTGTCATTCTGGATTAAAAGCTACATGAAGGCATTTTAGTCATCTGAAGATGTCCTCTAATAAATTGTGCATTTCTCTTGTGATCTGTAGACTCTTCTTTTAGCACACTGCACAGAACAGATGCAGGACATCAGTAATGATTAGTAGAGAGAGGTTGGGGTTTTTTCTTGTTTTGTTTTCTGTTTCTTCTTGTGGTGAAGACTTTGACAAAATTATTTGACAGGTCTGTGGAAAATGGATGAAAAAAAAGCATTATGTATACCTTAAGATCTTGTTATTTCTGGTCTGAAAACACGCCAAAACTTCATCCAGAAAATAGTCAAAGATTTGCTTCTAACTTGTCTTATGGTGTGGATGTTCTGGGTACTTCATTTATGTATTAACTCGACCAACTGTGTTTAGATAAATTATCAGATAAAATGTAGTAACCAACTCGTTCTTCAAAACAATGCATGGCATATACCTTGATAATGTTTGGGGGTTTTTTTTGCTCTTTTTGTCTCCTAGAAATGGGTCTGCTTTCAGAAGATGCAATGCATTAGATGTGGTGCTTGGAACAGGATTAGTCATGGCATCAGAACTATGTAAAACAATATCTGAGGCAAAGCTGGAAAGGCACAAGAACTTGTTCTTAAATTACCGAAATCTCCATCAATTTCCTTTGGAGTTACTGAAAGATGAGGGGCTGCAGTACTTGGAGAGACTTTATATGAAAAGAAATTCCCTGACCACATTGGTACGACAACCTCTTTATTGTAATGTTTACTGTCTGTATGTTTAGGAATTCTGATTTGTGGAACAGAAAAAACCAAGATAATTTAAAAAAAAAAATCTTACAGCAAATCTGATTCTGAATGATGTCATCCATTGTGAAATATGAGTATTTGGTTGTATTATGTTTGAACTTGCATAGGTAATGTAGAGTGTAATAAATGAAAGTTTATGACATTTTATAGTTACACTTTTGAAGCTCTGTGAAGATCTGCTGGGGGTTTTCTTGTGAGGTTTGGTTGGTTTTGTTTTGGTTTTTTTTTTTTTACTGCTATAAATTTTGCTTGGTGGTCAGGCTTTTCTACCACTAGGTGATACTATGCAAATCTAGTCTACATTCCTTTGTTAGGCTAAACTACTTTTGCCTTGGTACATGCCTTATTTTAAAGGTGTCATCCATCCCAGGGTCTAATTCAAAACTTGCTGTTAAGGTGCCAGTGAAAACTTGTGTCTGTGGGCTGCTGTTGATAGGAGAACAAACAGTTAATTTCAGGGATGTGGGATTTTCTGTTGTGGGGTTTTTGTTTTGTTGTTTTTCCCTGAACTGAACAAATTCTCACCCTGAATGAATGATGTGACCTCAGAATTCAGTGTGGACTAGTTAAATAATTGTGTGGGATATTCTGAGCTGGTAAGACTCTCTCTCTAGAGTCAGAACTTGCCACTGTTAGTAGGCTCAAGTCTCCAAGTAATTCAGGTTTTTTTTGTCTTGGGGTCTTCCATGGTGTGATAGGTAAAATAATAGCCAGGGCAGAGGAGCTGGAGGGCCTGACTACTTAAAATTCACCAAAATAATATGTTTTTCAGCACTTCCTAGAAAAAGTCCATTACTCCAGTTTAAGGAATAGTGTTTAAAGCTTTGGCAATGATATATTAGAATTCCTCAATAAAGGTTTCACTTCTTGGGCCAAAAGCTGAAAGGATTCTTAAGATTTTATGCCTTTTCTTCATCTTGAATGAGTCACTTAAGTTTACATGGACTGTAGAGAAGTATTTTGGCACTTCTTGGTTTTGAGCAAGTCTTTTGCTTAATAATTTAATGGGAGGATAGGATTCATGGTTACAAATTAAAACTGCTTTAAAAATTAACTGATGACTGTAAACAGTTCTGCTTTGACACTTTGTGAAATTCAGTGATTATTTAGTGGTGTAAGGTTTGTGAAGTTTGTACTGCTCAAAAGATAAAACAATGATAAGGAGAGTTTTGCATATGCTTTTTCTGTATGTATGTGTTAGAGCCTGGTTTTGTTTTTCTCAAAGTAATTATAAAATAGAAACCAAAACGAAGTCTTGAAAGTAACAGTTTAGTTCCATTTTCCTCTCGATATCTGTTAATACTACCAGCCAATAGATGTGTAAGATGGCATAAGTAATTACCCATGGTTACTGTCAACAGAAGATGTGTTAAATGAGGGAGGCAGCTCTCGCCCACAACTGTTCGGTATTGTAATTGAGGCCTGGGATAAAGGAACTGAAACAACATTAAAATGTAGATCATACCTCGGCAAAATGACTTGCAAACAGCATCAAGTAGAGCATTAGGATTCAAAATGATCAGGATAACTTGCTCATAATATGACTCGGTGGCATCTCATTCAAGTGCATAGCACTACAGTTAGGACCTAGGCAAACAAAATTGGGTCTGATTCACTGAGCATCTGTTCAGCAGAATAGATGTTGGAAGTTGTAGTGGACCAAAATAGATCAAGTTAGCAGCATGTTACAAAGAAAGGCAAATGTTTTTTTGGAACGTAGGAAGTTTCACAATCTCCATTAGAAGCAGAAGGGGATAATTATTGGATACTGTTAAAGCATAAGCTGGAGCAAAGGTTGAGTCTGGAGTTTCATACTTAGGAACGACCTAGGTAAACTGGAAAGAACCTAGAAAGCAGCAACAAGGGATTTTTAGAGAACATGCCCTGTGAGAGAAGGTTGAGAGATTTAGGTTAATTCCTCTTGCAAAAAGAGAAGACAGAGGAAGAAAAAAATAGAAGAGGAGGAATGGAGGAGAGCTGAAATCATCAGTGTTTTTACACAGCAGTATTTTCATAATGATTTTTTTTCTATGTCACATTGCTGGTAAGACAAGTAATACTCTCAATTTCAGTAAAGTACTAGTAAGTTGCCAGGGGGTGGGGGGAGAAATCTCATCTGAGAATAGTTGAAAACAAATAGGGTATTGAAGGAAGATGTCTCTTTTGGCCTTGTGCTCCTTTGATTCTATGCGAGAAGATGAGCATTAGCTCACGAATAAAGACTTTAAATTGCATATGGATTATTAGCAATCATCAAAACTAAATCTGCACAGTATTTCTTTAAAGTTAGGTGGTACTTTTGTCCCGCCAGTTCATTCCTTCAGAGTTCTGAAAAATGTTGACTAAATCAGCTTTTGTTCTTTGCTCTTCTAAAATTATTCTAGACCTTGACAGATGGCTCGTATGAAAACGTCTGGATTAGTTATGCTGACAGAATTTACATATACCTTGCCTAAGAATAATTTAATTTTTGTCTTCGTTGGCAAGTTGGAAATGATAGAGGGCTATGACATAATGAATGGATCAAGAAGCTGTATAGCACATCAGCAGGTTCACTTTTTGAAAAACATCCAGAGGGGTGTGAGGGCAAGGCAAGCTTCCCTAAGCTGGTGGCAGAATTAATAATTCATTTATCATCATTTGTTGTCATGTCACCAGTAGAGACCAGAGTTAGTTTTACCTCTCAACTGATGGATCATGAATAGGTTTTTTTAAAATCTTAATTTCATTGTAGGATGTTGTATTGAGCAACTTTGACTCAGACCCATTGTTATTGTGGTACTCAAGATAAGCAGAATTTCTGTTATGGACTTGCTCAGCTCTAAAGTTGTCTCTCTCCTGAATTTAGCTCTCTTAACAATATGAAGCAGTTAAAGGAAGAATAAGAGTATAACCTTCATGTATAATGTGAAAATAGTTTGTGATTCAGGTTAGTATCCTTATTCTAATAAAGGGTGTAGGATGACAGTGAATTTGTTTTTTCACATTCCCTCTTAATTTTTTAAATTAAAGCTTGAATTTTTTGTGCTTAAGCATGTTGCAGCCTTTGCATATTTTCCCAGCTTAAGCTTTTCTCTTTGACCAAATAAAATTCTATGCTGAGAAGATAAATGTACTGTAGTAAATCTTCCAGTAGGTGGCAACAACTGATTAGTTATAGCCTATTTCTTGGGTCTTGACGTCAACGGATGCATTTATTGAGACATCAGTTGCTGCTCCATAGTTAAAAACAAACTATTTTTTGTACTCAGCTCTAGGATGTGGCATGTTTGCTACATAAGAATATTATGACATTACTTTTTCAGGTTAGCATATTTCTTCATAATAAATTTATAAACACAAAGTATTTTAGATGATAGTATACCTTTAATTTACATGTCAGTGAAAATTGCTAGGTTTTTTAAAAAAGTAAATTGACCATGTGATCGAACTGCTTTTAAAATTAATTTGTTTCTGCATATATGTGTATTGTAAAAACTTTTTTCAATAAAACATATCTATGTTTAAAGTAGATTTCTTAAGCTATAAAACTGTTTTAACCTTGGATATGTTTGGGTACGCTTATCAACATGACATATGAAACTTGTGAAGCCGATTTTGTGATATATATTCATGGTTATAAATGCCATCAAGAAACAGAATTGCAGCTAGGGATCAGTTAGCAGTTAGAAAATGATATGCATGTTAATATGTAAATATGGAAATCTAGTTTGATGGATTCAGCACTTCTGCTTTGATGGTAACTGATTAAGCTACACAAAGTTTGTAGGTCATTTCCCAGTTTAGCAGCATTACAAAATAAAATACATTATGGTTAGACATCTTGTATAGTTCTTGTTCTACTTTAAGTCTGTAAAGGCTGCAGCTTCTTAGCAGTCTCTTGGCTTCAGTCTCTTGGCTTCAACTAACTCAATTACTTGAATATATTTTCAATAGTAAGGTTTTGGTAATTCATCTTTTCAGCCTCAGAAGTCTGACTACCATTTGGTTGAGGACACGTTGATGTCGCTTCTAGTCTGTAGTTCTGTTTCAGTAGTAAATTGCTCACTTCATATATCCCAGATCGCACTGATGGAGAACATGCAGGGATGTGGAAATAGGGTGTTGTATACAACCTCCTTGATGCCATTTTTTTGTGACTAGCTGCTGACATGTTTTAGTATGGTTATTAAAAAGAGTTGGGTACACAATATGTGTGTGTCTGGTTTTTGTTTTGAAACCTAAAAAATCTCTAACTCTTTTTCAGCCAGAAAACCTTGCACAGAAGCTTCCAAACCTCGTGGAATTGTGAGTTTGTGTAGGAGTTCTAATATATTTTTTTATTATGCTGATCCATCTTATCTTAAAATAATTCTAGGATGTATTGCTTGCACATAACCTACCTCTTAAGTGTGAAGAGTTTTCTTGGAGGGCAAGAAAGGGTCAATTTTTGTTGGGTTTTTCTTTTTTCTTTTTTTTTTTTAAAGGACATGTATCCAGATGTATTCAGTCCCATGTTAATATTTCTAACAATTTTTTGTTTATTGTATAACAAGAACTCTGTTACAAATGTCTACACTGCTAAGGGAAAAAATACTTGCCCCCCCAACTCCTGTGTAGACTGTTGTCACCCTGATAAAGCACTGGAACCTCCAAATGCAATGGTCAGATAGTTGTGACAGAGCCAGAGTAACAGGTTACTGCCTCCAGCCCATTCCTAGCTGCTCATTTCCACCCTAGCTACCAGAGTTAGTATGATCTCAGTCTTGCTGATTGTAGTAATAAGTTTTTTTGGAACCAAGTCACAGATTGTCAAATAGGAGCAGGAATGAGCAAGTAGGGGTAGTAACTATTTAATGGTGATTGCTGTAGGCAGAGTAGTTTATCCAATCTTGTCCAAAGAATGGATGTCACATGAACTGTATTATTTTGGCAATTAATTTTAAGCTGTAAGCCCCTGAGTCAATGTTTTCTTCCCTCCCCTATTTTTTCTTGTAAGGTTATGATTTCCTTGTATGGTAGGATTGATGGCGGGGGTGTTAAAAGGGACATTCTCTTTTCCATTTATAACTCATTCGGCTCACTTTCAGTTGACTAACTGATGGACCATTGATTCTGTTTGTTTAATGGAAAGCTCCAAACAGAGGATGTGTATATCTGAGTAGTCTAATGCATTCAGCTGTCTGATCTTGTCATCTTAATTTGGCCCTTGAAACCACACCTTTCTGGTACAGGCGACCACAGTGTAATTGAAGTGTTTTGTAGGTCACTGCAGTCTCCGACTTGCTTAAGAGATGGTCTTGTCTCATCATGCCTGAGTCTTGAGAGTATGTTTATGCTCTAAAGCAGTAAAATAAATATTTTTATATTTGATATATCTAGTATTTAATGATTTGCCATGGGGCATCAGGAAATCTCAGTGTTATCTGATGGTGCCTTTAGGAAAACCTGTATAAATTACAGCTTAAAATAATCTCTTACAAACAATGAATTGTAGGAGTCAAACCTGATTATTTGGGGTTCAGCAAGCTTAGTTGTACCACCATTATCCCACACATTCTGGTGGTCTAGAGAGAACTGCAGTGGGCCTGTGGTTTTGTGTAGGTCTAATAGTACAAGTCAGTATTTGATCAGACAATAAGACATCTTTTGTTGACAGAGAAGAGACCACAAAATAAAGATTTAATTAAAGAATAATGTATTATAGTAGCTTTAAATTTTGAAAAACAAACTTAACTCATTTTCATTTTCCTGAAAGTTACAGTCTTAGCAATTTAACTATATATTTTTAAAAACTTCACTGTTGTCTGTGTTTCTTTGTATATCGTTTCCCTCACACTGGATAGATCCTCATAATACACATTTTTTTAGCTTGAGTGAAATAGTTCACAAGTATTTTCAGGAGCTGCAGCTGAAGTGAGTAGGAGAATTCTCATCTTGTGATTATACATGAGGATTTCTACAAACATATCTGCTATCCTTATGTTTGTTACGTTTTTAGTAAACTTTAAATGTCTGCAATTTTTAAAGAAAAAGAGAAGGCTCAGATGCTCCATGCAGTTGAAATGTTCATATGTCTGTCTTCTTGTTCTGCTTCTATCTCCCTGAAAAGAAAGGCTCCTACTTTAGGAAATGCTGTTGAATAGAATGGAAAAAAAATATGCTGTGCAAATAATCCATGTGTGCCTAAGCAATTGGACATTGAGTACTCAGTATTCCTTTATAATTAGATATCAATATTTGAAAATTATGTTACTCTTATTTTCTACAAGACCCGTTCGTTCATTTGCAGCAATGTTGATTGACAACTAAAAAAATATGTAGTTTTTATGTTACCAGTAGTACTGGAAGTGCTCCAGCAGAGGGTGCTGAATATTCTTGGTGAGAGATCTGGCCATCCTCTGTAACTACCTAAATGACGATGTGTAAGATTGCTTTTTTTCTTTTGAAAAATGTACTCTAGGTTTGAAAAACCCACTTGCAGTGAGTAGATCATGTGCTTGTTTCTTCAGTCAGTAAAGGTGTAAGAATTTATGTGCAAGGGAAAATGTTTTTAATTGTATAATTTGTGTGGGTTTGGGCTTTTGTCTTTACTTGCTCAGCATTTAGTGGGGAATAACCTGGTGATCAAATATGGTTCGTTCTGGTTATTCTATTTCCTTTATCCTTTTCCCTTTTTGTTTTCCTCTTATAACTCTCAAAACTAAAGCCTATTATTACTGTAACTGTGAATGTTTTGTTTTAAATAATTTTATGTTATTCTCTCTCATTTTTATGTTATTCATTTAATAGTCTAAGTGAAACTTAAGTACCTGTCCATTGCCAGTTTATACAGTTTCCACAGCCTTTGTGGTCATAGAGAGGAATGGCTTTGAGGGTGCTCTTTCAGTCTGAAATTGGATATTTTGCAAACTGATTATGTAGCAGAAGTCCTTGAGGGTAACAGGTGGTGTCCTCTGCTTTTTTTTTCTCCTCCCCCCAGGTACCTTCATTCAAATAACATAGTTGTTGTACCTGAAGGTAAGTAACCTACCAGCTCACAATAAGTGGCAGGAATCATAAAATATTCATTTTTCTTCTTTGAAGAGGCCTGTTTTTCCTTTATTTTCCCATAAAACATTAAAGATTTTCATACAAAATATACCAGTGTAGCTCTTAGTTGATAATATCCTTGTTTATGCTATGTTAAATTCTTTTAATGAATTCTCAAATGCACCTAAATGCTGTTTGCTTCAGTTCTAATTGCAGAAAGTGAAAAGTCTAAATGGCGCTCATCTACAGAAACAAAAATCTGGAGTGTCTTCTGCTTTCAGCCAGTTACCACACAGAATATTCTGCTCATTTAGATCATGACAGATTTGAAACTTAAAGTATCAAGAACTTGTACTAGTTTTTCTTTCTTGTCTTAATTGTAGAGTTACATGCCCAACCTCAGGAAAGTACTTTAAACTCTTTCTGAATATATAAAATGGGTAGACTTAAAGGAAAGGAATGGAAAAACTGATTTCAGAGCAGAATCGTCTGAGGGGAGTCTAGAAATGGGAGTATTCTGTACTTTGCTTCCTCCCCCCCCTCCCCGCCCCATCTCACTGCCAGCAGTATTGCTTGTTTGATAGATAAGCATTTCCACAAATTATGTCATTCAGTTGTGAGACTGGCTTTAATACGTCAAAATCTGCTCAGACATAGGTGTTAGGTACTGTGGCTTTTTATCCTCTCTTAGTCCTATTAAGATTTTAACATTACTGTTGGGTCACATTCACGTTTTAATCTGTTCTCTCACAAGCCATTGGCTCCCTCGTTAAACTGCAGTTTCTGGACCTAAGTGATAATGCCCTCGAAATTGTGTGTCCAGAGATTGGCCGCCTGAGATCTTTACGTCATCTTCGCTTGGCTAACAACCAGCTGAAATATTTACCTGCAGGTAAGTACAAATGTGTGAGGGATTACAGCAATGACAAATTCCATTTGAACTCAATTTGCATAGTGATATGCTCTAGGTTTATTCGTATCTTACAGTTGAAGCATGGTACAACTTGCATTTAAAGACTAAGCAGGGATTGCCATTTTATGTATTGTAGTGAATATACTTTGTAGCTGGAAAAAAGCCATGCTGTATGTACTTGAGGTGAAAAAGTCCTGAAAAATGCTTCTGAAGTGGGGAAAAAATTATCTATTTAACAGTCTTTGCTATTGTATCAAGAAAATATTGAACTTCCTTGAGAAGACACAAAATGCCAGTGACAACTGGCATTATGATAAAATGATGTTTCTTCCAAATTTCCAGAATATAAAGGATTCCAGTCTGTCCTTCCTTGCTTTTTGCCCAACAGCCCCATACTTGTATTTTCTAAAAAGACACATGTCTAGTAGGTTTGCCTATAGCAGTTCTACCTCACTATGACAGTAAATAACAAATGTTTGTCTTGCTCGTTTATAATAAAAAAGGCAAAATTTATTCAAAGTGAATGTGACTCAGTCAGGAAAAAGTTGACCATAGGCAGATTTTGAATGATTTTTTTTCTTCTACATACTTTGATAAGCAGACATAACTGATTATTCTTCTTTCATTGCCCTTGTATCTGTCCAGATGAGATGATGGTGATTTTTAAATACTTCCTTATTTTATTTTTTGATGTTTCTCTGGCGTATTTGCATTTTCTGATTTGCAGAGATGATAAGCTAGGGCCAGCATTTCAAAAAACTAGTCTAACTTAATCTAACAGAATTAGCTTTGGCTCTAATTTTAACTAACTTCTCAATATGACCTTCATGTGTTTGTAAGTTCACATTGCTTATTCTCAAGAAATATATTGCAATTGCTCCTTGAAGTTTTGGGTGCAGAAATCTAGCTGTCCTTCCCTTGTACTTTTCTAGGCATAATAAGCTTAATAAGAAAAAGTCAAAGGATGATTATGATTAGAAAGAAAAAAAATTTATATGACTATGTAAATTCTCTGGAATGAAATTAGATAAACCTGTTAAACATTATGACCTAAGGCCAATAAAATTTCCATCAATTTTCGGATGTCCTACATTCAAAAGAAAGGAGTGACTTGAGTGTGCTTTATGTTCCTCAAAGATAATTTACCTTATGGTACTGTACCATGAAAGAAAGACTTGTTCAAAGAAAAAGTGACACATTTTCTGCAAAACTTCACACGTTAACTTAAAAAGGTTCCAAAAAAGACTTTCAAAAGGATAATTTACATTACTGAAGAGTTGATTTCGAGTCTACCACATTTGATTAGGAACTGGTATCAGCTGCATAGGCATGCTGCATTTAATTTCTCCTGAAGTTTACAAAATTTGGTACTGAGCATTGTCCTTAAGCGTGTCTAGTTTTGTGTGCATGAAAATTTTGCATGCTTTGAAATAATACTGCTGTTGGCTACTTTTGAATCAGAGAATCCAGTGGTGTCTGGTCTTTCTGGTTTTGCTGGTAGTGTACCATCAGTTTATACATATGCCATTATTGCTGTCATTACTAATCCTGCCTGTTCAGATGCTGTCACTGTCAACAGGACTGGATGTCATAGAGTCAGAGCAAGATTAGTCTTTCACTTAGACTGGAGAGTTAATCTGCTGCATTTCTTAAACATAACACTTCCTGCAGAGGGCTTCCAAGCATATTTGCATAGTTTTTCTTTGTGAAATTGCTAATATTTCAAAGATGACTTTATACCAAAATCTTTAAGTTTGAAAATAATATTTATGGTCAACAATTGAAAAAATAGAGCAAAATAGTAGAGTTTGATGAGTTGTTTTATCCTTAACTATATTGGTAGCATGAATCTTCATAATAGTGTTAAACAGTGTTCTGTTAGGAAAGCTAGTAAAGTTAATAAAATGAACTAGGATGAGATGTGATTTCACTGCAGTACATCATTCTACTGTGTGTTAACTACTTGCTTTACAGCAGATACTGCATTGCAATGCATTGTTAGGGAAAGACAGCTCTTAATTGCTCTTAATTTATAGTAACTGTTTAAGATACAATTTAGCTTCTACTAGTGCAGCTTGTGCAGAATTTAAAGATCTGCATTAAAAAATAGCTTTCAGGTATAGGTGATAGTCATTTTTTAAAGTAACTTTTCAAAACTAGTGACTGTTTTCTGGACTTAGACCTGCACATATCACACAAATGGCAGTGAACTGTTTATCACAGCAGAGGTTCTAGTTAAGACAGGCTGATCAGTATTCACCATGTGTAACCACATAGGCCAACTTGCAGCATAATGACGTCATCACATAAAAAGCTTACTTTAGAGTTGTTGCCCTGTCATTCCTCTTGTCTTTCCCTTGCCATCGTGTGGTGTTACAAGTACCCTCAGTTTTTGTTGAAACTCAATGGATATCTAGGAGGATACTCTCAGTAATATCCTTAATCAATTGCTAAAAAAAATCTCTTAATTACAACTGCAGAACAGTTGGATGGTAAATGTTTGCCATTAAGTGTCTGAACGTCCACACATTTTTATTGCATTTTGTATTTTAAGAATGATTCTCTGTTGTGTCTTCCTTAATTGTGATTAAGAACTGAAAGAAACAATGCAATTAATAGCATAAGTTGATTCATTATCTATTTTTAACGTTTTTGTTCCACAATTCACAATTAGTGTTAATTTTTAGTATTTAATATTTGCCTTATAGAAATCTAGCATAACTCTTTTTAAAACCATTGAAATAGTATGCATCATGAAGCTGTATAAAGATTTATGTCTTCAGTCTGATTGTAGATGTTCTTCAGACCCTAATAAAGGTTGAGTCTGTGCTGCTGTTTATCTTCAATGCAAGATTTTGGTCTCTGAGTACCTGTTTTCATTAAGCTTGTGGGAATTTAATAATGAAGACTTCTATTCTTTTCTCAGGTTTGGTCATGATTGTCTAACTAGTTTGAAGAAGTTACTTTAGGGGCGGGGGTGGGGGAGAATGGTGAAAATATATAATGAATGCTTAAGTCTTAGTTTCCTGAAGAAATCAGGCAATAAGGGATTGATGGGATGGGGAAAGGGCCTTGGAGATTAGAACGCGCTTTCTGTGCTGTGGCACTCTTGCAGTGTAAAGGATAATCCTACCTAGTGAGCAAACACTAGCAAATCAGTGTCACCCGTGGATAAGATCATGTACTTTGGCCTCAAGGCACTTTGCTTAATAGTGTGCTACCACTGAAACAATGGGACTTCCATCATGCATCATTAAATTGTGAGAATTGTTGAAAGATGACAAAGCTAAACTTGATGAGAAGCAAAGGGAAAAATTTGTCCAGAAGAAGCATGTTGAAATTGAAATATAATATAAAATGGCTGGAAGAAAATGCTTTGTGAAATTCTCTTGAAGTCATGTTTTGAATATACTTCGGATAAATTTAGTAAGCGGACCAGCTTCTGCCTAATGCGGAGTCATCAGTATCTATATTCTGTGGTAATCAGAATCACTAACTGAGAGACTCTGTCTTTGAGAGGAGAGCTGATTAAAAGAGTTGCAAATAAGTAAGAAGATGAGATTTAATATTATTAAGTTCTCTTGAGCCCTTTATTGAAATACACAGCATTTTTTTGTTCTGCAAACTGTAAATCTTGTAGCTTCTGTCTTTAACAATTTCTTGGTTCTTTTATTTGGCTCTGCTATATATAATTCTTGAACATGCTATAAAGTTTTGTGAAGTTTTGTACTATTTAACTGTAGCACTTAAATAATCTAAATTCTTGAGGGCCATTTGGAAATATGTAATGCCAGAGATCTTATTTGAAAAAAATCTTAGAGTTGCAGCATAAACAAAATATGGTTATTATTTGATATTATTACATTAGTTCATGTGTAAGCTTGACTTAAGAGTTGACATTATGTTTTCATAGTAGCTTAACTTTAGTTTTTTAAGATTTCTCTTTATTCAGAGAATTGGTGTCTCATTTTAATTTAGAATTGTAGTTAGTCCTATATGAATGTGCTCTCAGAAGTACATTTTCTGAATCTTCTCACTTATGAATGACTAATTAGGAAGTTCCCCTTTGTTTCTGATGTTTATAATACATGTGATATTTAAACTTCTTTCATTCTTGAGAAATTGTATTTCTTTTCTCTTCGTGTAAGCATTATTGCATCATTTGCCAAAAAAAAAAGTAATCCAGTGAAATATACTGGAAAAATGATTCTTCAGGAGTTCCAAAGCCAAAGTTATCTCTCAGTTTTGCTGCGTTACCATTTAGATTTGATTTGGCTTTAGCCTTGGAAACTTTTGATTTTCAGATTTACATTTTGGTCTTGTAGTTAGTGAATGCACGTTTGGACAACAGATGACTTAAAAAAGGGTGAGTTATACTCAAAGTTGGACTTAAGTTTCTTATTTGACATGGATTAGATTTTTTTTATTGCACATTACTTGAGATATACTTCTCCTTAGAAATGGCATGTTGTAGCATCTTGTTCTTAAGATTTAATTAAAAATGAGGTTATGTTTACTCAGCACATGTTGGAGTTAATTATAGATTTACTAAAATGAAAAGCTTAATCTTTTGCCAAGTCAAGAGCAAAAGCTAAGTAATTAAACAAAGAATAGGGTATGGTTTATGATCCCAGCCCATCTTTTGGCAAAGTTCCCTTTAAAAAGGGGGGGGGGGGGAGAAATACATCAGCAGTTGTCTTTACATGGGCTAGACCAAGTTTCCCTTTGTGTTTGTTGTCAGGGAACTTTAAAAACCAAGAGTTGAGCACATTGATCAGGCAAAAAAAACCCCGCAGTCAAATAATACCAAACTTCATGTAAACTGCATGATGCTGTTTCTTAATCTGTAGGGTGAAAGTGCAGGTGACTGGGGAGCACCAGCAATTGTTGTTGCTGAAGGGGGGTACAGATCTCTGCAAGAGTCAAAGCCAGGTTTAGCAAATACCCTTTCTTCCCCATATGAGGAGATGTGTGGCTTC